CTCATGTTCACCTTCCACGAGATAATGGTAATTGGTTTACGAACGTCGGCAAACCGCGCGATAACGCCTACTATTGGTTAATAATAATGAGCATTGTATTACGGGAGCATTTACATGAAGCTAATTAAAGAGGCAAGTCGACCGGCAAGAGCAAACTCTTCAATCAAAGGCGACAAATGCAGTTCGATTTAATCCATGACTGAAACATTTGATGATTCTGGGACATTTTCCTAATCTTTAAATAGTATAATGATTTTTAATAATTATATATTTCACAATTTTATTATTCCTCACACAGTTTGCTCTATTTGGGTGAGCTAATTATAGTATTATATTTTAAAACGTCATGTTTTCTAATTTTATATTTAATTTACAATTGAATTTATTCATGCGCGCGGTTAGAAACTAGTTGGTGATATTTTATATATATTATTTGATTTTGTAATTAACGGTATTATCATGTTATGACTTTGTGTCTATAATTTTGTATGTGACTCTTATATGCCTTTGTTTACCTTTGTTTTTTAAATACTAAGGCTAATTCTACAATGTGCTTTTTGTTTCCTGTTTCTTGCTGTTTGTCTCTTGGCTTTTCGATCAAGAAGGCAAGAGACAAACAACAAGAAACAGGAAACAAAAAGCACATTGTATAGAATTAGCCTAAGAGTCCTGTATATTTTCTTTATGTTTATATTTTAAGTTCAAGTAATGCAAATTTTTATAAATCTGCTTTCTATAGCTGAACTTTTGGAACTAATAAAAGTGAAATAAGTATATATTTGATATTGGATGAGAAAGCAAGAGAGTTCTAGTGCAAGAGTTTAGTATAAGAATAAAATAATCTCATATATAGTTGAAAATGTTAAATTTTCTAAATCTGCAGATAGAAGTATACTGATACCTACTATTCGAAAAATTTTAATAGATCGCAAGAATCCACATGTCTTTGTTATGAATTAAAATTTTCAAAGGTCAGACGATAAAATTGTAGAAAAAACAAAGAACGTCAATATAGGTAACGCGAAAAAACTGTAGCACAAATAACCATAAATTGATCAATTAATCTTTAAAGAGCGCGGACATCTATTTTCTAAATCTTATAACAGCTTTTCCTTGGATAAGGTTTATTATAATTTATCATATTCCTTGCTTCAAAAAAATATGACCCTGTTTTAGCCCCACTGTAGCGGTACTAAAGAGACTTTCTATCCTGTAAAGGTTAAAGCGACTTATAGCGCTATTCAATTAAAGCTCCATCCGCTGAAAATCAAAATCGGGATCTTCAACGAAAAACCGTGAAGCTATAAAATCATAATTACGTAATTTTAGGAAGATGAAAAACTTTGATTTAATCGCTGCATCGTCGCGTAATGACGAGCGACTTGACCCTTATCTGTTTTGTAAGAAAAAAAACGAGCAAAAAAATGAGCGGTGAAATAATAATAATAATAAAAAAAAGAGATGGTAATATATACAGAAATACAAAGTACATAACGAGGTTATAATTACTCATCGAGAAGACGAGTGATTACTCGCGGAGAACATGACAAAGCTTCTTTCCGACAGTTATTAGTCATAAATAAAACGCAGAGAGAAAACATTTAACGGAAATAAATATTTACACTGATATATGTAAATTGCAATATATGTTAAATGCCTATTAACGTACTTCTTGCAAAACGGATTCGTAATATTAATTTCTCCGCTGCTCTCTCGCGTATTCTGGTATATAATTCGGCCACAATCCATCGTTCGGCCATTCTATCGATTTCGTGTAAATTCAGCACAATAGCTCCCCCAATTCTTATTACGCAATACACACGTGAATCAAGAATCGAAGCGGCGCTTGGGCTCGCAATTGAGTTGCCTAATTGCCTGACAGAAATTACGCGAGCTAATCGAACACCAAAAAGGGGTATTGAGAATGTATTTGCGCGGACGTGTCCTCGCTCTATTGAGGGCCGGCACGGCCATTTCAGGAGCGTACAACTAACTTTCAGGAGCGTGTCCTTAAATCGTGATAAAGATCCAGGCGAGGTGTATATTTTTGTCGAGTTTCTCTCTAAAGTTGAAATGCTCAATTGAAGAGCAACAAGAATAGAAAATAATAGATTGAAATCTACCTACACCATTCCTAATCTGAACGTTGAAATCTATTATTCAGAGGTCACCTATTTTTCTTGTTTCGTTAAATCTATTAAAAGCTTTCTACAATAGGTTATTAGTTGTAAAACAGAAGTTAAAAGTTAGAAATTAACCAATTGAATTTAATATGAGAAAAATACTCCACTATTGTTGATTTATTTCTAGCTTTTGATTTCTGATTTATTATTAATTAACAGAAATTTTAACATACATTTTGTTGTATGTTTAATTGAATACACAATGTAACCTAAATTTTTTATATAATTTCGAGAAATTGTTGTTAATCTCTATTTAAATTGCCCCACTTTACCCCATAGAAAGCTTGTAACACATAAAATGATATAAGCTGTTCTCTAAATTTCTTGGAATGAAATCTCACTCCAAAAGAATGAAAATCTGTCACTCTTATTCGATAGTAGCAGAATTTTCACTCCTCTTACAAATGAAACTTTAATCTAAAAAGATTTAAAGAGTGCATAAGCATAACATAAGGCTGTCGACCAATGAGCATTCAGCATAAAGACTATATTGATTCATATAAGATACTCATTAGTCTAGCGGCTTTAGGGCAGGAACACAAGAGTCTTGCATAACTCATATCGCATAATGCATAAAAATGAATCAATCAAAGTCTTTTATTTCCTTTTTTTTTTACACAAAAGACAGATTGGTTTATCTGCTTACGCATTATGCGTTATGTAAAGATCTTTTCGGTCTTTATTTTATGTTTATACAAATTATGTTATTTTACGTGTGATGAACTCTAATGTATAATAAAAAGCACAGAGAACACAGATTTCGACCTACCAAGTGATCAATTGTGTGTTTTAAAACGAAATAAAAGTTACAAAAGTGAGCAAATTCATTAGGGATTTTGATCAATAAAATTATAAATATTCTAACAAAAATTTACTCTTTTGAAATTTTCAACTTATTTCCTGATATACACGATTTAGATTATATTTTAGATTTTTTTTTCGTGTTTTCTGTTCCTATTGTCTGTCCTTTAACCTTAATTCAATTGTGCGTTAACCTTAACAAAATCAGAAAAAAATAGACGACTTCTAACCTTCCGTCGTAATTTGTAAATTTCGAAAAGAACACACGTTAAAATAAGGTGAGATAAATATAGCGTGTGAGATGTTTGCGCATTATTTTTAAATAAATTCATTCCTATTGGATTACAATATCAATACTCTCTTTCCCGGTATTCTATTTTAGAGAAATAAAAAGAATGTGCTAGCCACAGAATCCAATTTATTAAACAGATATAAATGATTATTGTGACATCGTCGACAAAAAGGAAATAGATCATTTTCCAGAGGGAAGATCGTAACCCAATAGTTGCTTTCCATTTTCACGCAAATGAAACTGCAAATTTGAAGTGAGCTGAGTATGAAATACTTAATGACATCACTACTTGCTTATTTTGGTAAAATTAACAAATGACAACACAGATTCATAACCTCACTTTTAAGGTGAGTCTACGAGATTCAGTAAGCACACGTTCTCGAACTTTGCAGTTTACAGATAAAAACTCGGTTGAATCTCACTTCTCAGAATGCAAAAGAAACGCGCATTCAACTGAGTTATGACGTCACAAGTGAGAATTATCTGAGAATCACGAAGTGTAAATGGAAAGCAATTAATATTACCATCAGAATTTATAATATGGTTTACATATCACATTTAAAATTCTTTCATATTTAAAAATGAAAAAAGAAGAAATTGGAGCAGCGAATGATCGAATATCAATGCATTACTTTTTCATGCGTGAATTTGATTCCGAAACAACGAAAATGCCTTTCTAGTGAGATCAGCCAATCATGTAACTTTCTCCCTAAAGCGGAAACAGTGAAAAGTGAAAATTTTTGTGTATGTATACCTAGATACATACATTCACAAAAATCTTCATTTTTCATATTTTCGACAAGGAAGAAGTTACGTGCTTCACCTCTAAGCCCTCTAAGCTAACAATCATATAATTCTTTCTCTGTGGTACATAAAAAATGCACAATAAAAACCTTTTCCACTACATTTTACGATAAAAATTTTCACTTTTGACATTTCCATCTTGGAAAAAACCATATTGCTATGCTATAATAATGAAAAGTGAAGATCTTAGACCTTCAATAATACAATTTCAAAATTTATCCTGTGTACTTGTCATTATTTTATATATGGTAATGCATAATCCATAAGAGATTTTCCATAATAAGCCTTTAGTAATGAATCAAAAGTCAGAAGCTGGAAATTGACCAATTATAGTCGAGTATTCTTCTCATGTTCAAATGTGATTGGTCAATTTCTAACTTCTGACTTCTGATTTATTACTAATGGGCTTTCTACAATAAGCCATCATCTAAGCTTGAAAAAAAATCGTAAGAAATTGACCAATCATGTATTCTTCTCACATTGACTGTGTGTGTGATTGGTCAATTTTTTATAACTTAAAACTGAAAGCTTGGATAATATAATATAATATTTTATTGTAGGAAGCTCACAATGGCTTACGGAAAGCCTTTTAGAAAATGAACCATTCAAAGCCATTTCTTTTCCTTAGCACGATATAAAAGACTCATATTAGTTGATTTTTCTTACGCCTTATACACTATGTATCGTGCAAAGATCTGTGTTTCCAGCCTTAACATTCTCTACATTAAGCCATTAGCTAAGCTTAAGCGAGCTTAAGTCGTAAGAAATTGACCAGCCACAATCGAACGTGAGCGGACCAACCGACTACTTGATTGCGATCAATTTTTTTATGGCTTATCGCGGAAAGCCGCTTAAGAACCGAAGAAAGGAAGAAGAGTGTCGGACGTTTCCTCGATCGCGGTCGCCGCTGCGATGCTCACCTGTTTGCTGTCGGCGCCGCTGTTCAGCGGTGAGCTTTGGCTGATCGAATCGGCGGCGCCAGCGGCAAAATTAGCCGGAGCAATCTCGATGTTCGAACTTTGCTCCGCGGCGATGACGGCGACGGCGACGGCGGCTACGGCGACGTCGTCGTCGTTATTATTGTTGCTGTTGCTGCTACCGGACGTCGATACGGCGTTGACGTTCTCTATATCGATAACTACATCGGCGGCAGCAGCGGCGGCGGCGGCGGCGTCGGCGGCACGGTCGCTTTCAGCGATCTTGTCAGGAGCTACCGGTTCCTGACGATGTTCCGGCCCTGGGGCCATCTTGATCGAGATTGACAGCGCGGTGTCCGCGGTGCTCATGGCTCCCTCGTCATCTCTCCTCTTTTCTCTTTATCCTTCAAGGGGCGCGAAGGGCCGCGAAAGGACTGTTCGCATACCGCATTGAAGACGCAGTACTCTCGGTTGGACGAGCGCTTAGATGAGGACAGGCGTCGTTGACAACGTCGAGGTCGAATCCAAGGATTGCTTGTGCAGGGCGCTAAGTCTTTTAATCGTTTAATCGAATTAATCAGCTTTTCTTCTCCTTGTACTTTCTTGGATCATAGAGAAAGAGAGAAAGAGAAAGAGAGAGAGAAAGAGAGATAATCGCGACCTAGAAAAGGTGGACCAGCTGATCGAAATGTTGACAGGAACGTAGACGAGCCGTCGATTCAGGATTCAGTTTAGTTGAAGAGTCGTAATTCTCGTGTTGAAAAGTATTCAGGCCAGAAGACGAGACAGAGAGAGAGAAAGAGAGAGAGATACACACAGAGAGTCCTTAATCTGGAAGGGAGGCAATCGAGATCCAGGAAGGACGATTTCGATCGAAGACGACACTCTTCCGTGGGTTATTCCGGGGATTCAACACGCGCACACAATTTCTCGGTGTGACGCGGAATTTCCGCGGAGACCCTCGCACTGGATTCCGCACGCGCGTGCGCGCGCGCGCGCGCGCGCTCAACGGAGAAAGATGGCCCCGTGGTGCCTCTCGCGGCGATTGATTCTCCTGGAGAATTCAACCGCGAGATTTTCCTCTCGCGGAGGATCTCGGTACCGCTTTCTCCGTCCGGGAGATCGGGACGGCGCACTTCGCGCAACACTCCGTCGGCGGTGGACGTCCCTGATACGCGCTCAACCTCGCGCGAGTTTGAGGTTAACTCGGACTGTCGAGCGGACTGTCAACTGGCGCGGCGGCGACACAGCTGTCCGTCGCGACGTCATCGATCGCGACGAGCTGTGGCGAAACGGTGTTTTTTTCGGAGACGATTGTTTTCCTTCCTCGTCGTCGCAACGAAGGTATATACACACGTGAGAGCGGGAGAGAGAGAGAGGGAAACCTTACGGCGACACTCGGAATCACACAGCGTTTCCTTCCCGAATACGTTCCGAGAGCGAGGCGTCCCGTTCTCGGGAGGGCAACTTACGTAAACGCGAGCACCGCTCTGGCGGTCACATGTCAAATTTTGAACGATCGACGCGTCGCCCAACGGGTGGATTCGACCGCGTGCGCTGCTGCTTCTCGCCTCTCCTCCACCGCCTCCTCTCTCTTGTTCCTCTTCTGTCGAGGAGTGACGAGGGTGGATCCCTCCGGCTTCTCAAAAGTGCAGATCTGCCGAGAATGGTCGTCGGGGCCGAGAATGGTGATTCGGTGTCGCTGTCGCGCTCGTCGGCGTTACCTCCCGAAAGTGGAGAGCCCGGTGGTCGGACAGTGCCATTTCTAAATGTACAACGTCGACGACGATGACAACGGGTGAGGGCGGCGGCGTCGTCGAGGCCTCTCAGGCAGCGAGGAGGGTCGCGGATAGGCGGCGGCGGCGTCGTCGAGGTACGGCGACACGCAACGGGAAACCGTCCAATTTTGGCGTTACGACGCGGCGATGTTGATAATCGCCGCCGCGCGGCGAGCACTCATCGATTCAAAATGGCCGCCGCCGCTGCGCGCACGCACGCACGCACATATACGTGGTACGGTACGCCACGGAGCGACGAGAGAGAGAGAGAGAGAGTGCGAGTGTCCGTTTCGCGAGGATACGTCTCTCGCGGGGGAAAACGCTCGCGCGTTAAAAAGCCCAGCTCTGCGACGCTCCCTCTTCCCTGCCGCATACAAACACACACCCGGGACAGACGGTGGCGCGCGCGCAAGCGCGTACCCGCGCCGCGCGCGGCGCGTCGCCTATTTCCTTCGGCCACGCGTCCCGTGCGGCTCGGCGAACGAATCCGTCATCGCCGGCCAGCGCGCGACGTCGCGATCCGTCGGCGCGACACCACGGACGGTCCTCACTGCGCGAATACCGTCGGCATAGCAGATACCGCGCGCGCTCTCCTTCCTCTCTCTCTCTCCCGAGTAGAGTCAATTTAATTCTGGTCCCCGAGATCGGGCGCCGGGTTATCGATCGCGCGACATTGCCTCTTCCTGGGGAGGGGAGGAACGGTTGGCTTCTCTCCGCGACGCACGTCTTCCAGCGAACCGGAGGATCGGCTCCGGATGACGACGACGACGCACGCACGCACGCGGCGAATGTTTATCAGCGAGATTCACACGGCGGGTCGCAAAAGCCGACCGCGGTGGAGCTTCGATTTTGAGCGAAAGACGCGCACGGTGATTCGCGCGCGGAGCCGATCCGCGAAGGGCGAGACGCGGGGTCCACCCTGGAGGAAGCTCCGGGGACACCCTCCGGCCGAGGCGCGACGCCGCGGTCGTCCGCACGCGCGCGAACGATTATCACCGGGGAGAGCCGAGAGAGCGGGACCAGTCTTGCTTTACAACGGACTTTTGACACTTTCCCGTCGCGACACATATACAACAAGCGGGATCGCTCGCTTTTGCGCAGAGGAACGGCGGCGGACCAGCCGCTCTTGGCCCTCCGAAAATGTCGTCCGGCGTGCAGCCGCGTGCCCACTCGGCGCAGCGCCCGGGTCCTTAGCTGATCTCCTTGTGCTTCCGTTGTAACAAGCAGAGATAAAACCGAAATGTTACTTTCTTATACCCTTTATTTATGAATAAGTGTACCAACAATTTTTATTTGAATTAAATTATTAGGGAGTATAATTTCGACGGTTTTTGTTTTTTTCGACGTGGAATCCACCAGTTACCAGAAAGATGGGGAAAAAGTAGTAGCCCGATCATCCTAGACAAAATTTGACCATCATTCAAAGTTAATTTAAGTACAAAATTTTTTGACGCAGTTAGGTTCCAAAGATGGAATAGAATATAAAACCACAATTTTATACCAAAATTTGATATGGCGTCTATCCGGAATTTTGGATTTTGCGTTTTTTCCATTTTGCAGGCGTATTTTGCATTTCTCGCTGAAAATGGTAATAACCAAATTTATAGAGAATTAAATTCTCTATCTTTTTTATCTGAACAATTTTGTTGTAAAATGATTATTTATTGCTAATAATGAGCAAAATGTCAAAAATTAGGACATTGACCCAGTTTTTTCAATTTTTGGACCATTTTTATTAAGAATAAGTGACACATTCAAATGGCAAAGTTGTAGAGGACTAAATTCCCTACAACTTTTGTAGAAACAAGTTTTTCGTACGACGTATGAATCACGGCCGGTAACATAGTAGCATAGGGGAAGACTGTCAACTCAGGCGTGGGGGAACTCGCAAGTACCTGGGATCGGGACAATAGAAGAAAGGTAGGCCTTGTGAACAGCTGTTAGTTGTTATTAGCTGTCGTTATTAGTTGTTTTTGTTATTTGTTGTTTTTTTTTAGTTTTTTTTATTTGTTGTTTATGAGTTGAGTCGCTTTTCCGCCATGCCTCTGTGTTCAGCATGTTCCCGGGCGTAATCCATGCGTCGTACGAAAAACTTGTTTCTACAAAAGTTGTAGGGAATTTAGTCCTCTACAACTTTGCCATTTGAATGTATCACTTATTTTTAATAAAAATGGTCCAAAAATCGAAAAAACTGGGTCAATGTCCTAATTTTTGACACTTTTTGCTCATTATTAGCAATAAATAATCATTTTACAACAAAATTGTTGAAATAAAAAAGATAGAGAATTTAATTCTCTACAAATTTTGTTATTACCATTTTCAGCGAGAAATGCAAAATACGCCTGCAAAATGGAAAAAACGCAAAATCCAAAATTCCGGATAGACGACATATCAAATTTTGGTATAAAACTGTGGTTTTATATTCTATTCCATCTTTGGAACCTAACTACGTCAAAAAATTCTGTACTTAAATTAACTTTGTCGAAACTCCTACATTGATCGGGCTATAGTGGCTAGCGGTGGACAATACTTGGAATGAAACATTAGGCGCCGTTCTTTCGCAATAAATGCCCAATTTTTGATGAAAAAACGGCGGAAACTAATACACCTAATCTAATACATTCAGCGCCTATCTGTATGTACATGTATGATATAATCTTACGAGATGTAATATGAATGTATGTTACATATGATGTATGTATATTATATATATCATAAGCGATGTATGTAATTTGATATATTTTTTTGTATTATTTTATTCATTGAGAAGGACAACATTTATGATCGTGAAACATTTGCGATTATTTCATGATTGTATCATATAAATATAAATAATCAGCGTACCTCAATCAGCTGGGCTATCATTGCTCCGATTTGGTATTGATTTGAATTATATATTCAACACAGCCTGATAATAGATAACTACATTGTTAGAATTGCTTATCCTCTTTTAGTCTCTCGCCTGTTTTTACCACTGTTCAACTTTAACCTCGGTACAAACAAATTCTCTTCATCGTATTATTCTAAGAATGAAACAAAAGATGGAAAGTAAATTGAATTGAGATTAAAGTTAATCTGTATTGATAGAAACGAACATTAGACAGTTTTTTTTTGTTATTTTTACCAATTGTTACTTTAGAAAAATGTTCTAAAAATTACCAAGTTAAACCGAGATTAAAATTAATCTCACGTGGAACCAGAACTTATGTATCTTTCAATGTAGATTAACTTTGATTGGTAATTTACTTTTATCCTTTTCTAATGCCTGTTTCCACCAATGCAGATTAACTTTAATCTCGGTTTAACTTACTGTTAATCTTTTTCTAATTTTTAGAATTTGAACGAAAAAGACGAAGAGCAAATTGAACCGAGATTAAAGTTAATCTGCATTGGTGGAAATGAGCATAAGTCTAAGAATTAGATAAAGAATAAATTGAACGACATTAAAGGTAATTTAAAAAATTTAGAGCTTTAACACAATTATAATATTGAATTCCGATCAATCTAATCGATGATTAACTTGCTCCAACAAAATTACTATTTCGTTAATCTTTAAGTTCAATCTAATCTCTTTCCATGTTAAATAACAAAAAGTTAATATTAATTTTTATCACACATATCTACAATATATTTTATTAAATCAACTAATTAAAAAGAAAAAAAAACTCGACGTTAAACATTTATATGTTCATATTATTAAATTGCTTAATAGTTTAATCATTCAAATCGATCTTAATCAGTCGAAATCACTCGTAGTATAGAGAATGTAGGGCAATAATACGACTTGCGTTTTTCAAACATAAAAGGTCTATTTCTTACAGCACAATGCGGGGCGAATAGAAAAGTCTCGTATCAAGTACAGGCAAACGTGCGCGTGGCGCGTGTGGGACTAGTCACGGCCGTGGACCACCGATCGTGGTCGGTGTGCAATGCGCGTCACCGCAAGTCGATACATCTCGAAGTCGAGCGCGAATACGTTCGATGCCGACACTTTGTTCCCATCGCTGTCGGCTGTCAGCTGCATCCGGACGGTGCGACGCCACGCTCACGATACAGAGGACAGATAGAGAGAGAGAGAAAATCGTGCGTGCATTCAGAATACCGTTCGATGCCGACACTTTGTTCCCATCGCTGTCGGCTGTCAGCTGCATCCGGACGGCGCGACGCCACGCTCACGATACAGAGGACAGATAGAGAGAGAGAGAAAATCGTGCGTGCATTCAGACACGGTTTGTCACGGTCCGAGTGAAGTGTCTGCAGATACGTGAGTCGGCATCGAGATAATCCCTTGACACGGGCAATTCTAGATAAATCATTATCTCGTAGATAGATATTCCCGCGGAGAGGGACTCCACCGCCCGGAGCACGCCGGAGCACGCCGAAATGGCCAAGTCGGAGAATATTTTTTTGTTCGTGCCCAACATCATCGGTAAATATACCTAATCTCGAGATATTTTCCTCGTGAGATAATAACACTGACAAGTGCGTGGTGTGGCGAACCCATTAAGCCCATTCTACAATTGCGCAGTTGTTATTGGTTGTAGTTGTAAGAATTAACCGATCGCAGTCGAATGTTCTCCTCGTATTTGACTGCGATTGGTTGACCCTTACAACTACAACCAGTTACAGCTACGCTCACGCAATTGTAGAATGGGCTTTACTTTGTACTGTAATACGCATTAAGGCCCGGTTGGATCAACACATTACTTGATTTTAAGCGAAAGACTTAAAACTCTATCTTGTATTAAAGCCGAAAGAGAGACGGAGACCGAGACAGTTTAAGTCTCGCTTGAAATCGAAATCACGTTGGCGCAATCGGGCCTAAAGTCTGGGCATGTATCGATGCGCGCCAAGATTCAATCGAACGGGACGCAGGTGGCTGGAAAATCAGATTCTCCCTCGACGAGTCGTTTCGCGTAATTTCGAGTAATTCGGTCGACGAGGCCGACCGTATAAAACTACGAATCATGCGGCCGTACACGACGTTTTTAAGGTTGCCTTTTATTGATCCAGTCAACGCCGCTATTGTTTTATGTAACATTTATATCGGCCAGTCGATAATAAATCTTTCTCGTAATCCTTTCGAAGCAATTTCTATTTCGAGCACTTAGAAGCATAAATTTTCAGATCATCTTCGATTGATTATATTAGTCCAGTGTTTTCCGATTTATCATCTAGATGATTATCTAGACAATTTTATCTAGATAACGGAAAACACTGTATATTACTGATAAAACAGTGGGTAAAGTCATGTTTATGTGCGAAATATGACGTCGGCAGAAAGTATAATTATGCACTTCAACAGGTTTCGGCCGAGTGATTCTGGCGTTGATTTCCTTCTACTTTATGTCAACCAACTACGTTATTGCATCGTGGTGTTACGTGGTTAGCTCGTTGCTGGATGCAATAGACGGCCATGCGGCCAGGTATTACAACCAGAGCACTAAGTTCGGTGCAATCTTGGACCAGCTGACGGATAGAGTCGGCACGATGTGTCTCATGGCTACGTTATGCCAATTCTATCAACCCTATACCTTCTGGTTTCAATTGAGCATGGCTATTGACATATCCTGTCACTGGATATATCTGCACACGTAAGAAATAATATATATTACACATTTAAGCTGGTATTTGTAGTTGATTTTTATATTTGAGAACGTTTTAAGTACAGTTTTAAGATGTCGCGAGCCAATCAAATGGTCGCATCAGCATCTTAAGATGATCTTAAAATAAGAACGAGCTATGAATATAGCTCTTAGGCCGGTATTCATAGTCGGTTCTTATTTCAAGACTGTCTTAACTAATGTCTTAAGATGCTAAAGCGGCCCTCTTCGTAACTCCTCAAGACTGAACTTAAGACGGTTTTGAATATAAGAACTGATTATGAATACCGGCTTTAGATTGCATTACATCAGTACAGTCCAAGATTTCCAGGCACTGGCTTTTGACGTATATAAGTATTCACACTTATCGCTTTTCTTTCTCTGTCTCTGTTAAGAAAAACGAAGTTAACAGGTGTGAATACCGATAGGTTAATTATCTTGAACAGCACTCATAAACACAATAGATATAGACTGTATATTGATCAGCCTCTAAATTTCAATTGAACATACTAACATCTTTTTTCAATTATCAGCATCTCTTTAGATCTGTTTTTCTAAAGTTGAGAACTAGTGTACACTTTTCAAAGTGAGATAGGTATATGTTTGATCTTTCATGAAAGCGAGAAAGAGTTGTAGTAGTTCAGTGCGAGAATAAAAAATATACCTTTTAACTTAATACTTTCGAGAAAAAGAGTGATATGTTTCAGGCTAATATTTTCCTATCAACTCCTCTCCAAGCTACTCTTCACTCTTTCCAATCCAATAGTGACAACTTCATAAAAATACGCAGTCTATTCTCATTTCGTCTAAGGCCGGAATCAGACTACGCATTGAAAATTGAGATTGAAAAGATTGAAAGATTGAATTTTGGCTAATCAAAATAACAGGAGCTAAAATTTCTTTATCCTCATTGGTCAAATTTCAATTTTCCATCTTCAATCTCAATTTTCAATGCGTAGTCTGATTCCGGCCCAAGATAACGTTGCATTATACATATAATAATGTATGCAACGCAATAAAGGAAGTAATTGCTTTATCGAAATACCCCAGGACTCTCCTGCAAGGAAAAACCAGTCACAAGTTCGTCGACATGTCCGAGAATCCGATCATGAGACTGTACTATACGAATCGTCTGGTACTATTTTTCATGTGCGCTGGCAACGAAGCATTCTATGCCGGTCTGTACCTCCTGCATTTTACTTCCGGACCAATTTGTAAGTATTTGTAACCAATGTCGTGATTTTCTTTTCAAACGTGAGAACGTATAATGACACTTTACCTTGCAGTCGTGGGCATGAGTCTGTACCGATTAATCGTGTACTTGACCTTCCCGATAGCATTTGTCAAAGCCGCTATCTCTCTACTACATGGATACGTGGCGTGCATCAATCTCAGCATCATTGACGTGAAAGAACGTCAGGAGCGGCTTAAAGTAAATTAAGAATCTCGTTCTCTCAACACATCATTTGCTAGTCAAGTTGAATGTGATCTACAAATCTTCCTATTCTATAAACTGTTGACACACGCATTGTTTACGTACTTCCATATATATTTTTAAGAAGCAGAAAGAACCTTTTTAAAAATGCGTGGTCAAAACGTGTCTCTATTGAACTTATAGACCTATCTTGGAAGCTTTAACGACAGCAGTCGTTTACTGCTATACATTGTCTCAGATATAATGTATAGTAAGAAAGCTTAACAATAACACTCTTCAAAAGTCATAGAATAGGTCTATTAGTTGATGCGTAGGAAAAAAGATACTATTCTTTGAAAATAATCCAAAGATAAATGGCCGGACCTCTTTACTTACGTTAGAATATATGTGAAATATATACTTTTACGAAAGAGGAGAGGAACTTGTTCTCAAAGCACTAATAGTCACAAAGACCAATATATTTCGCTATACGTCATAGTTTCATAAGTTACGTTCGGCAGAAAAGCAGTTTTGCAATTGTAAAAAAAATTCTTGATCACGATTGGCCTCGTCTTCAGTTCCTCATTGGATCTAAATACATAAACTAATCATATTAAATAATTTTACAATTGCAAAGCTAGTTTTCCCTGCTAAATGCAGTCATAGACTTGTTGTTTAGCGTATCGTTTATAGCATTTATTACACACTAGAACAGTAAGTTATTGACGTTGTATTTTCAGAATCTTTGATATATAGAAATCATATATATATACATATAGATTCCTATGAATTGATATCCTTGTATTTTTTTATATTTCTCAGGTAGACAGTTTAGAGAATCTTAACATTTTCCTCGTGTAACACATTCTGCACATAGCAAAACATGATTTCAATGTATTACAATGTGTTGAATAAAACATAATTTTAACATTTCCTCACTTAAGTTTATTACAACTGAATTCTATGAATACCAAGTATACAGAAATATATCAACGTATACAGAGGGACGAGCTGTAATTGTATTGAACGCGATACATTTATCGACTCTGTCCAAACTCGCAACATATGGTAAACAAAAATAATCGAAAACAAAATATAAGTATTGCGGTGTCTTTTCAAAACTATAACAAATATATAAATATTGTAAAGTATAAACTCAAAATAAAAGATACATTATCAATACGCATCAAGCGCGATAAGAGAGGAAAAAAAAAAATATTCTCAATTCGTGATGTAAAGAGGGAAAAGATAAGGAAACGTGTAGCATACGTTGGACATTGCAACGAATACCCGGCATATTTCGCGGTATCGTTCCACACGAGGAGCCCCGGGGGGACAATGACGCGCGTGACCGTACCGTAATCGAGGGGCACCTGCTCGCAAAAACAAAACATGATAATTAGAAAACGTGACGGGCGAGGTTCGCGGGCGCGCGCGACCGTTCAACGGCTCGGCGCGAGACGAGGTGACAGCGGGGAACGTAAGGGAATCTTTCGACCCGGACGACACGGGCGGGCGGGCTCCAAGCGAGAAAGTGGAAAACAAACGGTACTAACCTCAAACTCCACGCTCCCCCGTGACCAGTCATAATTTCGGCGCCATATTATCACTTCAAACACTCGCGCATATCGAGGAAAGTTGGCGAGCCTCCGCCGGAGTGCCTCTTCTTCTTAACGCCAGGACACCGCGACAGGTGATCCGCGCGGCGCACGGCCCGCGGGGACGCAGCGGAGGATGCCGATCAGCGAACGTCGGGAGTTTCGGATGCGGACGCGGCACGCGTAGCGCGGTACGAGAGTTATAAAAACAAACGAGGATCCCGGAGTCCGGAGTATACCGGCACTCGTCGAGGCGGCGCGATTCGGCAGCGAGACGGTGGCGCCACCGTCGCCCGCTACCGCCGCGGCGCCGGCCGACGTCCCTTTCGCGCTCTCGCGACCATTCGAATCTGCGGATAACCGCCGCATCCTGTCACCCCTCTAATCGACGTGATAAAGCGCGAGCCGAACGCGATCAGCGATGACTCCGTCACGCGATCTCGACGTTCCTCTTGCGACAAATACATTTCGAAAAATAATTACTCTCCTGTCCGATAGAATTCTCACGTTGAGTCTTCGAACGACAAGCGAATCGAAAATAAGGGTTTCTATTATTATACTTCACAAATCTATAGTCCTCTCTTTTTTTTTTTTTTTTCATTTAATGAACACTATTAAATTTTTTAATAGATCTCCAGGTAGAGAAAAATTTCAGCTACTCTCCAGTTCTCCTCATTCTCTTAGCACGGCGATAAACTGTTCGTTAAGATTTAAATCTGCCCTTGAAGGATATACCAACTTGAGATTTCCTTGAGTGTCGACTACTTTGACTTGTTGGACCGTCAAGTTGTTACACTTGTTATCCGTGTCCTTCGGTTCTGTGGAATCGATGAGACCCGAAACTGTCAATTCCTTCAGAAATTGATCCAACACATTCCTGGGAATAAAAGAGTACACTATGTTATTGATAACAGAATTAATTTCAATAAAAATATATGTGTAAAGACTCTTATTAATAAATAAAATTATAAATGTAAATAAGGGCATAAGAGTCGAAAAAATTAAAATAATTTTAAATGTCTTTAAAAATTATGTAACAAAGAATTTTAATAGATGTATTCTTAAAATAATTACTTGTTACTAACAATATTGACATTATATATAGTTAATGTTATAAACGACAATTACATGTTTCGGCTTCTGCATCGAGCCATCTTCAGATTTTTCTTCAAATAAAACTAGATATGCAAACGAATATACAAGATAGGAGTTCTCCGATGAATTATAATTTGAGAAAAAACTGTTCTCAAGCAGTTGGTAAACTGAATGTAACTGTTCCTCTTAGAACAATTCAACAAAAGAATCCATATATATACAAGCTAATAATAAAGTGTGTCAACAAAATTAAAAAATTATTATTTCCATATGGAAGAGTCAGATATATAATATGTGTGCACATTATAAAAGATAATCGTGGAACTATATAATATATGTAATTTAGACTATTTTATTTATTTATTTAATTTTAATAATGGATCTACTGGATTTTTATACTGGATTATACATTTTTTATTACATTTTTGTTAAGGTAATATATACAATTTACTTCTTTATAATTAAGTTTTTAAATTTGTATACCTTTTTGTCAATAGATTTGTATAGCTCTTATGAGGAAAAACACAAAGGAAGATCCATATTTAATTATACATATTTAATTTTATATTTACGACTCGTTAATTAATTATTCAATTTACACTTTTAATTTTATATTTTTGACTCGTTAATTTTATTATAATTGTACACATGTAATTTATTGTTGATTCGTTAATTATATTATACACACTTAATTTTAAATTTAACATTGAAAATGACCCGATCGGTGTCGAAACGTTTGTGAATTTTACCTACTAATTTTACGATGTTTGCGAATTTTGCGAATTTTATTTTAATGTATTATGATTTGATTTCATTATAATTATAATTTTTTTAAAAATTATTTGGCTCTTTTCTCTTATTTTCAACTTATTTATTTTATACTTGTTGAGCCTTCTATTAATTTATTTTATTATATAATATATAATCAAGTATATATATAATGTCAATATGGTTAGTAACATCAATTTTGTTTAAACATAATTATTTTAAGAATACACATCTTTAAAATTCTTTGTTATATAATTTAAAAAAATTTGACATTTAAAATTATTTTAATTTTTTCGACCCTTATGCCCTTTATTTACATTTAATTTTAAGAATTAATTTTTTTTTTTAGTACTAAAACATAGTAAGTATAGCAAGCTTTAGGCCTATTCTGTAACTCTAGGTTTTTCATTTGCTGTTAACTTACAGTTAGGTGTAATCTGATGTTTTATCAAGTAGGCTTTATCTATGATGATGTCATGAGTTAGACATAAAGCCCACTAGGTGAAATATTAAGTTAAGGTAACCAGTAAATGAAAAACCGGACCTTAATGATAATAACAATATCATTACATGTGTTGCATAGGTTTTATATGTGATTAAAAAAACTGCAGAACAGTAATACAATGATATCATTGCTGTCGTTAAAGATTACGAAATAAAGGTCTTAAATCGTAAAATATTGGCTAATTACAATCGAATGAGAGGAGAATTGGAACAATTATTGGCACAATATTGGTCAAATATCAATATTGATCAAATATTAGCTCAATATTGGTCCAATATATCTTCAACATTTTCAAAAGTATTTTTAATAAATAAAAAATTAATAATTATCTGCTCATATAAATTAAAAAAATTTTTTTAAAATAAGTATACTTCCCAGGTCAACGTTTCGAATTAATATTATTGATTGTAATAAATTTATTGAATTATAATAACAAATATAGCTCATTGTTCTTTGACCTGGGAAGTATACTTATTTAAAAAAATTTTTTAATAAATAATTACTACAAAAGTACATTAATTTTAATCTTGATTCAATTAACTCTCCATCTTTTTCTAGTTCTAAGAATTAAAGATAAAGAGTAAACTGAACTGAGATTAAAGCTAATCTATATATACATCGCTAGAAATGAGCATATAACTAGTCGATCTCTCAGCTCACTATACTTATTGTGTATACTACAAGATTTACAGTTAAAAGAGTTGAGATAAATCATGTAAACAATGTCAGATACACATTAGAATCTCACCTGCAAATTGTGTACGACAAAGCACTAGTTACTTCTACAAGCATCTCTTGGGTAGCTATAGACATTTTTGTTGCGTCACTGTTTGTGATGGGTGGAAACGAAATAACGTGCTGCGATTGGTCCAACAGACACGGGAATAAAGATTTGCCTTCCAGCAGATATAAATACTTGTGTATTCCAGAATACACATTTCGTTTCTTTTCTTTACGTAGAGTCTCAGCTTCTATCTGCAACTTCTGGAACAGATCTGCGCCAGTGTATATCTTGCTGTACATTAGAGGCTTTATTTTCAATTCTGTGGGCACCATTGCCGTATACGTGAGTTCTCCTACAAATAACAAAATGTATCTTAATAAAATATCAATGCGCAAGTAATACTTTTATTAAATACTCAGTATTTACCAGGTACAATGAGTTTCAAATCGTGAGTCGCTATTGTAGCTGCATTCCTTTTCTCGCATATCCCATCGTGTAATCTTGTTTGCAGCTGAATGAACTTTTTGAAACTCTCCTCTGTGAAGCTTATATTTTTCACGATGCACGCGGCTATGTAAGGCCTGATACTTTTCACATGTTCTGTCATTTTTATCACTGGCGTGTCGTCCAGTACTTTCAAGACTTTCAATTTATGTGCCAAGCCATCGACTACACTTTCGCTTTCAGAGACCTTCTGATTCCTCTTTCCTTTCTTCGACGTATTTTCCGTTGTGGACAATTCACTTTTCGGGCAGTGCAACTTGACGTAGTCTAGTATTTGCTTTGTAGAACATTGATTGATCAATTTTGTCAGCCTCCTATCCGACAATTTATTCCCTTTCAGATACACCTCCTTCAGTTTACTACAATCCGTTAATTCGCTTGGTACAACTGTGTATCATAATATAATTATGTATTACTTAAAAATATTCAACAATGCAATTCAACGAGAAACATATACATATAAAGTTGCATTACCAGAAATCAAGTTATCTGCTATATTCAAAGCCTTCAATCCCTGCAGTCGACTTATAGTGATTGGAATTTCCGTTATTTGATTCCCGTTAACATGAATCTCGGACAAATGTACGAGCTCTGTGTGACAAACGTCGGGAAAGGCCTCAAGCCGATTATTCGATAGGTCTAGGATACTCAATTTTGTGCACAAAGCTAGCGACGGGACGTCTCGTAGAAGATTCGAGGCAAGATTTATCGTGCTCAGATTAGGATGATCACCGAGTTCCCTCGGGAGAGACGTCAACTTGTTCATCGAGCAGTCGAGCACCTTCAGCTTGGCCAATTTAGCTATCGCGCACGGTAACGCGGCGATCTCGTTCGAGTGGAGCACCAGAGTCGCAAGATTCACCAACTTCTCGATCTCGTCCGGCATCTCCTGAAGACACGTGTGCGTTATGCTGAGATAATTCAAATTGTGAAGGGTAAACAAGTTCTTGTCCAGGCCGGACGTTTCGATCAGCTTGGACACCGACGTGCCCGACAGCACCAATTCGTGCCTGTTTTTCTCGGCCGCTTGTTTCACGGCCTCCCATGAATCCTCGAGAGTCATCGTGGCGAATTCCTCTTGTTGAGAAGTTTATTCACTCCCGCGTGCAACCACAATGTAAACAGATAAGGAAGAGGTTATTTTGAGGTTATTCGTGTTCTGTAGATCGACTCATGACGCAATGCGATGCAAGATGCAAGTAGCTTTGCATCATAGGTCGGCTAAACTCGGCTGAACTCGATCGATTAATCGAATCTCGTTTAAGTTCAAAGCTCGATTGTCTCTTCGATTTCTCTTCAAATTTAAAATTCAAATCCGAAGAAATATCAATTATCTTTAAATCTCAATTTAATTTACTTTCTGTCTTTGTCTAGTTCTAAGAATTCAAAAAAATACATAAAAAATCAATTAAATCGAGATTAAAGATAATTTATATTGCCAATTGATATAAATCATCTGATTAACTCGTCAGGTAATACTATATTCTAAAAAGGTAAAAAAGGTGTCAAAAGTGTGTACGCGCTCGTATATGTGTGCTCCTTGGAGAGGATAATGACTTAATTTTTTTTCAAACCTACTTTCCAAACTATCAAATAATTTTTTTCAAAAAATATATGGAATCTTTTAATTATGCCAATTACATATAAACAGAAAATACATATATTATTGAAACAATACAGATATCATAAATACCTAATGATAAATTCATGAAACTTTTATATTGCTTTTTTCCTATATATAAAGCATCCATTATACAAACACTTTAAAAGATAAATAAAAATGATAATAGCTTCAATTATTTTTAACAAAATGATAACACTTTTAAATCAAACCAAGAAGATGGATACCTCTTTTATTTATAAAAATCTAAAAAATAAGATCTTATTTGCAGTACCTTGTGTTCTCATTCAATAATTATCTTTTTAATTTCAATCCAAGTAATGTTTTTGAAAAATAAAACCCAATATCTCTCTCTTTGTCATCCCATTCAAAGATCTTTCAATCTTTCTTGTAAAAAAAACTCGGTGCCGCTACATCAAATAAAGAAAATGATTTACTTTTTTAATATTATTTATTACTTTAGTAACATACAACGCAAATTTTTCAAATTAAAATTTTTTATTCTTAACCTATTCTTAATTCTAAGTAATCACTTTTACTATATGTAATGTACTTTTGAATTTTATTCTACTTAAATGTAAGTTGTATAATAAGTACTTATCCCCGCGATATTACTCATTCGCAAATCTTTTGTTTTTTTACTTGGTTATAAGTTTTTTAAATACTTAGCTGATTCTATTTCAGAATATATTTTCATTTTCTATGTGACATTCACATTAATTTATTACTACTTAATAAATTGTTTTTAATTTTAATTGATTATAATTTAATTTTTTTTGAATTATAAATTATCATTGTTCTTTTTAATATTACTTATAAATGGTTACCATTATTTTCTTTATTTGGTGTAGCGGCGCCAAGTTTTTTTTACGAGAAAGGTTGAAAGATCTTTGAATGGGATGACAAAGATATGTACTTGGATTTTATTTTTCAAAAACATGAGTTGGAATTTCAAAAATTATTGAATGAGAACACAAAGATATATTACAAATAAGGTTTTATTTTTTAGATTTTTATAAATGAAAGGTATACATCTTCTTGGTTTGATTTAATATATTTTAAGAAAATAAAAACAAAGTCTGCCGATATGAGCCAACACTGGTTATAAGTGTGTATTTTTAACAATTCATTCGGAATCATACAAAACATATACGTTTCGACCTATGGTTAAGATCCTTCTCAATACAAATAAGGAAATAAGTAAAATTTAAAATTAAGAACATCAAAATTGATAACGCATAAGAATACGATTACTCTAGTGGTAATGTCCAAATTAAGTCAAATCTTGCTCATCAAAGTGTTAAGTTTAATGAATGTCAAAATTAGACTATTTTTGTATAGTTGTCCAGATTCCAAACTGCTCGGTTTTTAATGAAATTTAAATGACAATTATTAGACATAACATAACGATTTGGAAGGCCGATGTGAAAAAAAATCATTAATATTTTGTTACAAAGAATTGAAGCTACTATCATTTTTTTTATTTTTTAAAGTATTTGTATATGGACGTTTCATATATAGGAAAAAAGTATTTTTTTTAATTGGCGTAATATAAAAGTTTCATGTATTTATCATAGATCATAGGTATTCATGGTATATCTGTATTGTTTCAACAATATACCGGGTGGGGCAATAACTTTGTCCACCTTAAATATCTCCGCTATTTTTAGAGATATGAAAATATTGTAATTACAAAAGTTGTACGGTATTAAGAACAGATCATAGGTATTCATGTATATCTGTATTGTTTCAACAATATACCGGGTGGGGCAATAACTTTGTCCACCTTCTCCGCTATTTTTAGAGATATGAAAATATTGTAATTACAAAAGTTGTACGATATTAAGAGGACTATAATATATGCTGGTTATAATTTTTTTAGGTGGAGACGCTTCGGAGATTTCGAGGTCAACTTAATTTTTTTAAATGGAATTATATGAATTTTTTTTCACTATATGATTCCTCTAATTATTCTGTACATAAAAATATCAAAGTAGAGATATAAAAAAACCAATACTTTACTAGATATTTTACACATTCTTTTGGTGCATATTGACATAAAATGTTTAATAACTCGTGAACTATTGACTTTTTGATAATCGTACCTAATGCTTTTGTAAACAGTATAATGAGATGAATCAATTGGTGTGAAGAAAACATATATAGTTGCTATAAAAAAATATGTATGCAAAATGGATAATTTAGAAATAAGCAACTGTGTTTTCTTTACACCAATTGATCCATCTCATTATACTGTTTACAAAAGCATTAAGGTACGATTATCAAAAAGTCAATATTAAACATTTTTTGTCAATATATGCACCAAAAGAATGTGTAAAATATCTCGTAAACTATTGGTTTTTTTATATCTCTACCTTGATACTTTTATGTATGTACAGAATAATTAGAGGAATAAACAAAATGATGTCAAGGGCGATTAAAGAGTCAAAAAAAATTTTTGTTCAACAATATATAAAACATATAATCAGTCATTTTTAATAAAATTAATTTAAACATTACTTAACACTAAATCGCCTAACAAATTATGATAATAAAATTAAAATAAACATAAGTATTAAAATATAAAAAAATATATAAAAATTAGAGGAATCATATAGCGAAAAAAAATTCATATAATTCCATTAAAAAAAATGAATTAAGTTGACCTCGAAATCTCCGAAACGTCTCCACCTAAAAAAATTATAACCAGCATATATATTATAGTCCTCTTAATACTGTACAACTTTTGTAATTACAATATTTTCATATCTCTAAAATTAACGGAGATATTCAAGGTGGACAAAGGTATTGCCGGTATATATTTTCTATTAATAATCGACGCAATTAAAAGATTTCACATATTTTTTGGAAAAAATTATTTTTGATAGTTTGGAAAGTAGGTTTGAAATAAAAAGTCATTTTCCTCTCCAAGGAGCACACATACGAACGCGTACATTTTGCGTCTTTTTTCTTACCTTTTTAGAAAGGTTTTTCGACTACTTATCACTTTTACCATACATATATTACTTGGATTGGATTATGTATCACTTAGGTTTTATTTTTATGATTTTTTAAAATCATTTTCAAACCATCACTTGGGTTGGAATTAATTACAAAATACATAGTTTATATTATGAAAATATTAATGATAAATTAAGACATTTTGCCCAGTAAACGAGAAATTATTTATTGAAGCGATGTCGAATTAAAAGTTTTCAAATTTTTAAAATATGTTTTCTATCCGTAATCCACTTCAATTAGTAATTACGGATTAGTTATTTGCTTCCTGTATCTCACCTATAATAATTTGAACATCACGCCCACATTATTTATTTAAAAAATGTTAAACAATTAACGACCACATCGGCCACAGTTCACATGCATGGTGATAGACTTTCGGAAAAAATTCTAAAATGTCTGGAACTTAAGAAAAAAAGCAACAAACAAACAAACATTTTAGAATTTTTTCCGAACGTCTATCACCATGCATGCGTGTGATCTGTGGCCGATGTGGCCGCTAATTGTTTAAAATTTTTGAAATGAATAAGAAGAACGTGATATTCAAAATAATATTGCGTTTCGGTTTCCTCGTGTCTCGGACTACATTTTAGAATTTTTTCCGAAAGTCTATCATCTTGCAATAATATATATATATTTTTTTATATTATTTATACATATACTTTATAATGTATTATTATTATATTCAATAAATTTTTTTATGTGGAAATACATCATAAAATAAATTATATTTTTTATAATATCGGGGGCCCCACACTGCTATTCGCCCCTGGTGTCTCGCATGTGGCCGCTAGAAGTGGCCGCTAGAGTCATACAAGTGACAACTTGAAATATGCTGTCAAATGTCAAATTTGTCAACTTGTCAAAAACGGAACCATATGCAACAGATTGTTTCATCTAAAATGAAGAGGAAACCAAAATCTGAGGTGATGATGGATCTAAATCTTAATTTTATACACATTTTAAATTTTGCATCGCGATATCCCAGCTAGTTTATAAAGCACGTAGAAAAAAGATAAAAGCATTTTTATTATTACACAACCTGAGCGGTGGTTATCGATTGAGCGTATGTAGAACTTGATTCAATTTAAAGGTGCATTCACATGCAACCGTCAAGCGTCAAGCAGTGGAAGTAGCAACCAATCAGCGAGACAATATGAGCAGTGGCATAAAAAATATTTTCTTCGTCACTGGCCATATCGCTTCGCTGATTGGTTGCTGCTTCCGCTGCTTGACGCTTGACATTGCATGTGAATGCACTTTTACAGCCCGTTCACACGGTACGGTTTTTTGACCGTTTCGATAATTTCACCGAATCGGTGTAAATCGAATCGAATCGGATGTCGCGTTCAGACGATACGGTAATTTCGTACATCCATTCTCCCGTATGCCCACCCATTTCGCCATCAGCTCTTTCCCGAGATGGATGTGAATACATTTATTATAACTTATTCAACTTATTGGCACTATCGCCATCGTTATAAAAAAAATTAATAGAAAATATTGGATACATCCCATTGTAAGTAAGAGATCTCGTTTGGGATT